AGCTCCTCCTGCTTGTAGCTCAACACATCGTCCTCGTCTTGGAACAGGATGGGCGGAGCCTCGCCAGCCTTGCCCATGCCGTGCATGCGCCTCTGGTGCTGCTGCAGGTTGCCGCGGCGATTGAAGCGGGCGGGGCAGAGGTCGCAGGCGAATGGCCGCTCCCCAGTGTGGATGATAACATGCCTGGCGAGCTGCGAGCGACACTTCTTGTCTTTGCCGCAGATGTGGCAGACGAAGCTCTGGGGCGGGCGCGCCCCGTCGGCATGCACCGCTTGCCGGTGCCTCTTCAGGTGGCTGAGGCGGCGGAAGCTGCGGCTGCAGAAGTCGCAGGCGAACGGCCGCACGTCACTGTGGACCAGGGCGTGGCTGGCCAGCAGCGAGCGGAACCGGAACGCCTTCCCACAGACGGTGCAGGGGAAGGAGCTGGGCGAGGCACCGCGCTGCCTGGAGCCACATGGCGCCTCGCCCGCTGCTGCCCTCAGGTGCACTCGCAGGTGGTGCTGCCGCAGGTAGCCGGCGCGCTGGAAGCCACGCAGGCAGACACTGCAGTGGTGCAGGTTGTCGCCCACATGAATGCGAGCGTGTTCGGTCAGCTGCGTCTCAGACTTCAGCCGCCTGCCACAGACGCCGCAGGTGAACGCGGCATCCGGCGGCGATCTGGGCTCCACGGTGGCGCAGCTCGGGTGCAGCAGCGCCTTGTGGCGCTTTAGCTGGTACTGACGGGCGAACTTGCGACCGCAGATGTCGCAGAGGTGCGGGCGCTCGCCGGTGTGAGTCTGGAAGTGGATAGCGAGCTGCGAGCGGCACTTGAACTCTTTACCACAGAGGTGGCAGAGCAGCGAGGCGGGGCGGAGCGCTGGGCCGGCGCCGGAGCTGTGCGCCACGCTCCTGTGGTGCTGCAGGTCGTTGGTGCGCATGTAGGCCTTGGGGCAGAGGTCGCAGCGGAACGGCTTGACACCAGAGTGGATCGCTTCGTGAGTCTTCAGCCGCGACCGGCAGACAAACGTCTTCCCGCACACGGCGCACAGCCAGGCTGGCGCCATCGATCGGCGCTGGCGGTGCAGCGCGCCGTCCGGGTGCAGCCGGCTCAGGTGGTGGCGCAGGTTGTCGCGGCGGTTGAAGCGCAGCGGGCAGAGGTGGCAGGCAAACGGCTTCTTCCCCGTGTGGATGAAGGAGTGGCGTGCCAGGCTCGACTTGTTCTTCATCACCTTCCCACACACGTCGCACACCGTGCTGTCCAGCTCCAGCTTCACCTGCTGCAGGCCCGGTGTAGAGTCCGGTCTGGGTCCAGAGTCCGGTCCGGGTCCAGAGTCTGGTCCCGGCTCTGACGGAGCCAGAGGCCGGTCTGAGGGGACACAGAGGAGGGGATGAGTCAGATCTGAGATAGACCTTCACCCAGCAGGTTCTGGTTCTGATCTCACCTCCCCTGGGGGTCCAGGTGGGGTCACCGGTGTCTTCGTCCTCCGCCCCCCCCTCCTCCTGCTCGTCCTCCTGAGGGTCGGGTGACTGGCGGCGCGGCCGGCCCGGCCTCCCATTGCGTCTGGCGCTCTGCAGAGCCGGTCTCTTCCTGGTTCTGGTTCTGGTGTCAGTGGGCTCATCAGAGAGTTTGGCTGCAGGTCTGATGATCCTGGTTCTGGTCCGATTCGGGACGCAGTGCTGCAGCAGAGCGCCGCCGTCTGACCCGTCGGGTCGGACTGTCAGACACTGCAGTAGGTCAGCAGATGAACCTGCAGGGACAAACTGGGTTAAACTGGGCCCCGGGTTCTGACTGACAGGCTGCAGTCAGTCTGCAGACAAGACTCCAGGGAATAATTAAGAAACAAACCTCTCTGCTGCCTCCTTGTGTGAGAAACACATCACTACATCTGAGAATGGGAATTGGGAACCAGTTCTTTTAGAGAACCAGTTCATGTTCAGTTCAGTAGTTTAAGTCGGTAGTTTAATTTAGGGTTACCCTAACCCTATGCGCCAGTTAAACCCAAGTGACGATGTTAAAGCTCAGTTCAGCCTGTTTTGCTGTTTGGGGAACAGCAGAGCTTCATGTTCTCCGGTAAGACTCATGATGTTCCTACCAACCTTGACATGAATGAATCTAACACACCCAGCTGGACCACAGCTGGATCAGGTCCTCTGGCTGCAGTAGTGCAGAGGCAGAGCGTCTAACTGTGCAGTTGAGGCAAGAGATCAGCAGGAAGGAAAGAGAGGATTTGGCTCACCTGAGTGTCTCCAGCTGAGGTTCTGACCCAGCAGGTCCACCTGGACGGCCGCCTCCCTTTGCACTCCTCTGCAGCTCTGGCAGCCCACCTCCTTCCTCGTCTCCTCCTCTTCCTCAGGACTCTCCCACTGGCAGCCCACCTCCCGGCTGCCGCCCTGCCTCAGCAGCAGGATGCACAGCTCCTCTCCTCCACCAGGGGGCTCCATGGCTGCTGCTTCTGCAGGAACATACAGTAGAACCAGAACGACTGGACAGAGCAGGAACCACCAGGAGATCTCATAGATCTACAACGCCTAGAACACACAGCCTTATCCAGATATCACGACTCTAGGCTGACCCGTCCAGAACCAGGCTGAAGTCAGAACCAACCCAGACTGGTCTGAGGGTTTCCATCTGGACCCGACAGTAGAATCAGCAGGACCCCAGGACGTTCTGGGAATCACCGGAACTTCCTGTAACCATGGCGACAGCTCTGTCCGCTCCACAGAGAGAGCTGGACCGGAACCAGCTGGGCCTCCATCATGTCCGAGCCTGACCCTTTCCTGGTTCTATCGCAGGCTCAGTCGAGGTCTGGATTGATCACAGGGTTCTACAGAACCTTCCGGGAGGACAGCCACAGCGGTTCAGTTTCCTCTGAACCACAACCTGCAGGCTCAGGTTCGGTTCCGGTTCTTCTCAGGGAACCTCTAGTTTAACCGAACCCGCGCAAGATGGGCCGGTTAGCTCGATGCTAACTCACCATGTAAGCTCACCTGACGGTCGCGAGGCCACCTCCGCAGGGTCCACTGTGACGTCACACCCGGAATATAAAGATTAAAGTCCGAACTCCATATTCTGTTCAACACCGGACCTTACGAACCCAACCGAATCAGAACCACAACAGGCCGCGCCGGGATCCCTACTTCTCCTGCTCTTCTTCTGCTGAGCGCTTTCTGCTCGCTGCTGCTCCCAGCGGCCGCTACGGGAACTACAGGCTTATTTTATTCTCCCGACTACCAGGAAAAAGAATATTGTCCAATCATCATATTTTTAAAATCCCACAATCTTTGTAAGGTAGTTAGAATACTGAAAACTTTTTTTTTAAAGTTTTTATTTTTGAAATATCATGTGTCCACTACAGTGGACATCGGAACCCTTACATTTGAAATTGAACCTTGATGGCCACCATTTTGTCCCGAAGAAAATATCCAAACATCAACATAAGAATGAATGTCACATTGACAAAACTGAGCACTGTTGCCTAGAAAGAAAGTTCTGGGTTCGATTCCTGGCCTGGGATCTTTCTGCATAGAGTCTGCATGTTCTCCCTGTGCATGGTGGGTTCTCTCTGGGTTCTCCGGCTTCCTCCCACAGTCCAAAAACATGACTGTCAGGATCATTGGTTTCTCTAATTTCTCCCTAGGTGTGAGTGTGTGTCTGCATGGTTGTCTCTGTGTTGCCCTGCGACAGACTGTCCAGGTGAATCCCGCCTCTCGCCCGGAACAATATGGAGAGGCGCCAGCACCTCCCGACCCACTAAGGGACCGAAAATGGATGGATGGATACAGAAAAAACAGAAAATAATTACAAATGTCCACTACAGAGGACAATTTTTCAACTTTTAAAAAATATGATAAAGTACAGTCAAAATAATTCATAGAATGTTTTAATATGCTGCTGAGACTAATTTAGAATTTTAAATTTTAAACCAAAATTTGCACAATAAAAAGTTTTATGCACTTACTGTGTCTCTTCCCATAAAATGTGCTTGTACTGATGAACAGCATTTTTATGAATGAGGAAAAAGGAAGGTACAAAAGTCCCACCCCTTCACATGTGGCATCATTTAAAAGCCCTAAATGTCCTCTCCAGATACCAAAAGGAATTAATTCAGTAGAATGCAGAGGGTGGGAGATATTCAAGTTTAGAAATGTCCTCTACAGAGGACAAATTTGAACTACTGGTAGTCAGGAGGATATTAGAAAGTTTTATTTTATTAAATAAAAAAAAAAAAAATCTATTTAAATGTAAAAAAAATAAAAACTCTTCCACTCCCACCATTGTCCAACACGCTTATATCTGCAGGGTCGCTGGGTTCCACACTGGAAAATTTACTGTTATTTATTATTATTGTGATTATTCAACAGAGAAACTTCTCCTTTGGTTGTAGAAGCGGTGACCCACCTACTCTGGCACAATACTGCCATCTTCTGGGAGGGAGTAATATGTCCAAGGGAAGATTGGTTGGCATCATGAATCAAATCTGTAGTTGTTCACGCTGCTCTCTGTTCTGCAGTGAACAGATTATAGCAAAAACATCTCCGAGAAATGTACGCACCTTATTCAGTGTTAACATGAATAATCTGCCTGGCTGCTCTCCAATAACCATTTTTAAAGCATTTAGTCAGCGTAACCATGGTGACGACCTGGAAAGCATCAGGTAGAAACCAAAGTTCATAGGTCCCGAACGAATCCAGAAAGAGAATGAAAAGTTGTGCCTGCAACTGGTACCAGAACCCGTACCAGAGATGGTACCTGATGAAGAATAATAAGGCTGCTTAGTGGCCTAGTCAAAGGAAAACTGGTAGTTTCTGTGTATACAGGGCAAGGTTAGTTTTATAAAAGTGATGGAAAAACTGTGCAGCTGAAGGCTAGGGGTGGTTACTATGGTAATGCCAGCTCTTCAGGTGGCAGCCCACCTGGACTGGACCGGACCAGTGAACTGATGTGGAAATGACATGAACTTTCTGCAGAACCAGAACCCAGTCCGGTCCGGCATGTGTGGCGTGTACATTCAGAGACTTCAGGCGGTGTGTTCAGTTTTATTGGAATCATACAACATAAATAAAAGCTTTCATTACAGTGATGTTCTTCTCAGCATCAGAACCGAGCCTTAACTGGGTCCAGTCACAACCGGGACAGAGTCAGAACCATCCGACTGGACCGCCGGTGCTGCTGTGGTTCTGATGGTGGAACAGGAAGATCTTCTGCCATGATTGTCAGCCTCTGTGCTTCACAAGAACGACGACAGCAAAGGAATAAATACTCCCTATGTACACTATTCACACAGACCGGGCCCAAACGGACCGGACCCACCAGAACCAGGCTGCCAGAAGCGGACCAGAACAAAGGTCCAAAGTGAGGCCCCGTCCGGTCCAGTTAGTTTCAGCAATACAAAATATCAAGGAAGAAGACAGAAGATGAACACTGACCCCTGGTGTTCTCCAAGGTGAACTACGCTACTGCAACAGGCCATTTCCATGGAAACCTGGGAGATGAAATGTCCCATGATGCCGAGCTCCTGACCAGACTACATCAGTAACTGATCCAATACTGGACCGGTTTAGAACTGGTGTGATCAGGATTAAACCGGTTTAATGCCTGATGTGATCCAGGTTAAACAGTGCAAACATTGTTTGACCACATCACAATCTTTTAATGGTTTCCATGGCAACCAGAGGTTGTGTCCATCAGTCTGAGGTCCAGCACATGAACAGAACCAAAACCAGGAGAACCCGAGTTCCTGCGATCCGGTCTGATCACAGAGCCTCTTCAGACTGTCCGTCTCTGACTGAATGGACGGTGTCCCACATGGCTCATAGCTGGGCCCCCAGCAGAGGACCGGTCTGGCGGTCTGCAGGAAGACTGTCCAGAACCAGAAGAAGGTTTTTGAATCTGTGAGGACGGCTGGAGTTCTGGAGGAACCATTTACAACATGCATGTCTCTTTGGACTTCCATAAATAAAAACAGAAGCAGATAAAAGGAACAGACAGAACCTCATGTCCAGTCTTTGGGTCGGCGCTGGTGCAGTTCTGCTGCTAATCACAAGATGGCAGCAGAACTGATGACTAGACTTCCTGAAGGCAGGACTGGTTCTGCTGAGTCAAGGTGTCCAAGTAGTGGGATGTTGTCCTGCTGCCATCCAGGAAGACCCGGACCTGGACAGGATGAGGTCATCGCAGGTGGGCGGAGCTTCAGTCCAAGTCACTGCCAGGTTTACAACACAAGAAAAACCAACAAGACGACAAAAAGGACAGTCAGGGTGTCCATGCTTACTGTCCGTCCAACAGGGCAGGAGACACCTTCCTCTTCCTCTTCCTCCTGCAGCACAACGAGGAGGAGGAGGAGGAGGAGGTGATGAAGGGGGTGGTGATCCCAGCTAAGCAGAATTCAGGAACTCCAGAGCCACTTCATAGCAGAACTTATATTGTTCCTGTGGAGACACACAATATATAATTAATATAATAAATTCATATAAAATAATTAATAATATAAAGTCCAGAATGTATAAACCCCCCCCACAAAGTATTAAAAGAGACAACGATATTAATGACCTTTAAAAATAAATAATGCTAATAATTTTGATAATAATGATAAAATAATAAGATATAAAAATATTAATAATAATAATTTTGATAATAATGGTGATAAATAAAAAGTTTCTCAGCCTCACCAGCAGGTCCACCATGTTGGGTTTGTTGTTTCTGAGCGTCTTGACGGCGTGGAAGACGTCCACACATCGCTGCTGCCTCAGCATCTCACACACGATGCTGACGCTGCAGAAGACGCCGCTGCGCCCGCCGCCATTCCTGGGGGGGACATGAAGGGAAGGGACATGCTCAGAGAAAAACAGCACCCCTCCTCTATTTGACCACCAGATGGAGACAAAACATCACTGAAGACACAGGAGACCAGCAACGGTTCTGCTGGACGAATCCTACTGGAACCACAGTAGGTCCACTGGCCCAGTACCACCGGTACCACCAGCCCGGTCCTCCTCAGTGGGCTTGCTGTGGTTCCAGAAGGACTCATCCAACAGAACCGAGTCGTGTCAGAGTGTGGATCAGAAATATCAGAGCAGCTTCACCACTTAAAGCCGTTACCACATGGAGTACAGAATAGTACTGTGTGTAGACTCACAGGCAGTGGACGACAGTGCGTCCCTCACCGCCGTCGTACTCATCCTGCCATTTGTCCACCTGGTGGACGAGCTTCAGGAAGGAGCGCTTGGAGACAGGTGTGTCCCGGTACATGGGCCAACCCAGGAACTGGAACTGCTGCACCATGCGGTACCCGTCCTGCGGCTGGATGGGGACGGGAGGAGACGGGTACAGGGACAGGCTTTAAATCAAATGCACCCTGAGATGTGGGTGGAGAGCTGGATCAAAGGAAGGAAGTTCTCACAAAGTTAGCAGGAAGTTAGCAAGAAGTCAGTGGATGCCACAGGAAGTTAGCAGGAGGTTGATAGGAAGATAGCAGAAGTTAGCAGGAGGTTGACAGGTAGTTAGCATATGTTAGCAGGAGGTTGATAGGAAGTTAGCTGGAGGTTGACAGGAAATTAGCAGATGTTAGCAGGAGGTTGACAGGAAGTTAGCAGAAGGTTGATAGGAAGTTAGCAGGAGGTTGATAGGAAATTAGCAGGAGGTTGATAGGAAGTTAGCAGATGTTAGCAGGAGGTTGACAGGAAGTTAGCAGAAGTTAGCAGGAGGTTGACAGGAAGTTACCAGGAGGTTGACAGGAAGTTAGCAGATGTTAGCAGGAGGTTGACAGGAAGTTAGCAGGAAGGTGTTTAAAAAGGGTAGCGGAAGCCAATGAGGCGTTCAGGGTAACTGGGAGGATGTAGGCTCCAGACCCGGAAGCGGAAGGTGTGAAGATCAAACACACCCTGGCAGTGTTGTAGATCCTGAAGATGCGGCTGATGACGTCCTCCTCCAGGTCCGCAGAGACAAACTCCACCTGCAGCGAGCCGAGGCGGTGGACGCCGTTCTCCGGCCAGTACTGGGGACACAGCTGAGACAGAGATGTCCGTCAGGCGCCGGACCACGTGGCTCGTGGCTTGCCACTGAGCTTTGACCTCACCTGGGCGGGATCCACATCATTCAGCATCACGATGGATGAGCAGTGATAGTCTAGAACCAGGCGCCAGAAGTCCTTGACTGTGTTGGGCAAAGGATGCTGGGTAACGATGAAGGCCGATGGCTGCTTATAGCTCTGCAACACACCAATGCAGGAAGTGACGTCACACGGCAGAACCCTGCTAGTGTTAGCACTAGCATAGCATGACGTACATCCATGAGCGCGGCGTTGATGTAGTTGGAGCTCTCGCCGTCGATGGTGATGAGGAAGGGCAGGCAGCGGTCCGGCGGCAGAACGTCCATGCAGCGGTTCTTCTCGTGGTTCCTAGGCAACAGCGCGATGCTGCAGTCCTCCACGCGCAGGGTGGGTGTCACCATGTTGAGGGTCTGAGCATGTGAAGACGGAAGCCATGTTGGATGAGAAGGTTGGAGAGAAAACATGAAACGGATTGAGGGCAAAATATTCTGGACTTTATGGATCAACAGAAAAACTTTAAGATTCACTTCATTTTAAAATAATTTATTATTATTGTTAGTATCGATAATAATAAAAATGATAATAGCTTACTGTAATCTGAACTTTTAAAACAAATTAATGCATTTTTACTAAAAATATGATTTTTAGTAAAAAATGTACTAAAAATGAGTAATTTAATGGGGTTAGAGGTGGTGTAAAACAAATTTAAGTTTGTTTTTATATTTAATTCTTAACATTTGGTATTTACAATATTAAGTATTAAATATCTGATGTTGGACATAACAAGGTTGGCTTTAATGTAATTTTATTTAATAATAATAACAATAACAATAATAATAATAATAATAATAATAATAATAATAATAGATGAAGTTATCAATAATGAATATCCATTACATAAATATATTTTAATCTTAGGAATATTTTCTATATTTTATGGCATGTTTTCTGGATATCTGGTGAGTTTTCCCATGATCCTCCAGTCCTAATCATGTGCTGGTGGCACTGCCCCCTGCTGGCCGTACCCTGAACTCCTCCTTCATCTGGCAGGAGTTGGTCTGGGGGTCCAATCGGTTCATCTCATAGTAAAGCGAACGCAGCTGATTGGCCGGAATGGTGGTGTTTCCGCAGAGACATGCCTCCAAGATGGCGTCATGGATGAAGACGTACTGCTCCTGTGGACACAGAGGGACGGACGGCGTTATGGCGACAGACAGCAGGACGGGGAAATGTCATGTCAGCCATGATTTATGTCCACAGGAGGAAGAGGAGGAGGAAGAGTGACATTAAAAGTTGGAGGAAGAGCGGGACGTTGTGCTGCTGTCACTTCCTGTCAGCTGGAGGACGTCAGGAGACGAAGCGACCTGAGGAGCTTTGCCTTCCTCATTGGGCTCAGAGTGAGGAAGAGGAGGATGGTGAGGGTGTGTCAGCAGCAGGGGTCAAAGGTCAGAGGCCAGGGCAACAAAGCAGTTCAACGTCAGAATTATGAAAAAACATTTCACATTTTGCTGATTCTCACCACATCGTCATCAATATAAATCAATATATTGCTTCAGAAATATTGATCAGTGTTCCATTAATTATTAATCTATAGCAAAACTGAAAAGAGCTCAGGGTTTCGGCTGTTTTTCAGTTTTCTGAAAGTTTGTTCCAGATTTGTGGTGCATAGAAGCTGAATGCTTCTTGTTCATGTTTGGTTCTGATGTACAGCAGAACCAGAGTCTAGAGTCAGAAGGTGCTGTAGAACCGGGTGGTGTAGAACCAGGTGGTGTAGAACCAGGTGGTGTAGAACTAGATGGTGTAGAACTAGATGTTGTAGAACCGGGTGGAGTAGAACCAGGTGGTGTACAACTAGATGGTGTAGAACTAGACGGTGTAGAACTAGATGGTGTAGAACCGGGTGGTGTAGAACTAGATGGTGTAGAACTAGACGGTGTAGAACCAGGTGGTGTAGAACTAGATGGTGTAGAACCAGGTGGTGTAGAACTAGATGGTGTAGAACTAGACGGTGTAGAACCAGGTGGTGTAGAACTAGATGGTGTAGAACTAGACGGTGTAGAACTAGATGGTGTAGAACCGGGTGATGTAGAACCGGGTGGTGTAGAACCAGGTGGTGTAGAACCAGGTGGTGTAGAACCAGCTGGTGTAGAACC